AGTGAGACTTTGTTTCAAAAAAGAAAAGAAAAAGACATGTAACCCTGACTAATTTATTTTATAAATCTGTTTCCTCATATATGAAAAGGCACTGATGAAAAATCAGAGACCATCACAAAAAGTGTAGGTCAAACAAAACATTTCTATAGGCTTACTTTTATCTTTTTTTTTTTTTTTTTTTTGAGACAAGTTCTCCCTCTGCCGCCCAGGCTGAAGCGCAGTGGTGTGATCAAGGTTAACTGCAACCTTGACCTCCTGAGTTCAAGTGATCCTCTCACCTCAGCCTCCTGAGTAGCTGGGACTACAAAAATGCACTACCACACCTGGCTAATTTTTGTATTTTTTGTAGAGACAGGGTTTCACCATGTTGCCCAGGCTGGTCTCAAACTCCTGAACTCAAGTGATCTGCCCACCTTGGCCTCCCAAAGTGCTGGGACTACAGTTGTGAGCCATGGTAACAAGCCTACCCCAGGTTTCAAACCAAATGTATACAACTGCATATGTGGATTTTTCTGGAGAAGTGTCTAAGACTAAGAACCACTGACTAGCCCAAATTTATCTACTTCTGCCATTTCAGCTGCCATCTGTGAGGATGAGTCCCATCTTTACATCCAGTCCACCTGAGATCGCCTTACCTCCTTAACCTGCCTCTGCCACATCCTCCTCTTAATTGCCATTGCCACCACCTTAGTTCAAACCCTCTTCAAATCTCTTGTCAGGAGCTGCTTCACTAGTCTAATTACAGTCTTGTTCTCCTTTTTCCTACTCTGTACAACTCAAATCCTCTAAATCTCAAGTAATTTATGTGGCCAAAGGCTTTCAGGGTGTGCCTGTAACATAAAAGAAATCCAAACTCCTTACCCTAACACAGAAACTCCTTAGGTCCTAGCCAGACTGACCTTTCCCTCTCACTATTTATTCCCCTCCTCCTCCAACTCCAGGGCGGTAACAGAACCATAATTTGCAGCACAGGATAGTCTTTTGTCCCTAAACTGTGATTCCTACTTACAGGTCACACCTTCTGGAATGCCTAACTCCTCCCATTCGCTTAGGACAGAAACTTCCCCTGTAAAGCCCTCACTTTAAAACCTAGCCTGCCCTTTAGGCCAGAATAGAAGAATATTCCTCCAGGCTAAGCTATCACTTAACATTCACATTGACATTGTAAATGTCAGCTTATTTTTCTTCTCCAATAGACTAAAAACTCCTCAAGGGCAGAGAATGTGTCTTTGTATTGCAAAGCTCAGAGCTACAACAAAGAAGCTAATCTGTTAAATGAATGAACCAGCAGCTGCTCCTACCAATCAAGTCACGTAAACATGCCCAGGACTCTAAAGTGAGCCTATCAAGGCCACAAACTGCTCAGTGCCTTCAAAACCACGCAACACTATGGTTCGTGGGGACTCACAAGAACACTTCAAAACCTGAAAGAGGGGAACCAGGAGTGCAGCAAACCCACCTTAAGCTCCTTTGCCCTTGGTGTACTTACCATACCTTTATGTTGGCCAGTTCCAAATTCAAACAGCAGAGACTACACTAACATGAAGCCGCTGAAACTGAACATACTGCACAATTTTTTACTGGCAAAAATAGATTTATTTGCCCCATTAAAGTAATTATAATATTCTTTCTGTACTCAAATACTTATTAGTATTATTAATATATACTGAGGCAAGAACTCATTAAAAATTCACATCAAGAATATTAAAAATCTTTAAAAAAAAAAAAAAAGTTATGTACCAGAAAAAGTTATGCACCAAGAAAATATAAAGGTTATGCTCTAGGAACCATTCTAAAGGCTTTACGTTCAATTCCTCATTGAGTCTTCACAGCAACCCTATGAAGTAGGTACTATTATTATCCCCTTTTACAGATGAAGAAAACTGAGACTTAATCAGATTAAGTAATTGTCATGATCCACCTGGGGAGACTGAGGCGGGCAGATCCCTTGCATCCAGGAGTTTGAGACCAGCCTGGGCAACATGGGGAAACCCCGTCTCTACCAAAAATACAAAAATTAGCCTTGTATGGTGGCACACACTTGTAGTCCTTGCTGACTACAGGCACACTTGAGGAGGATCACTGGAGCCCAGGAGGTTGAGGCTGCAGTGAGCTGTAATCATGCCACTGTACTCCAGGCTGGACAACACAGTGAGCCCCTGACTCAAAAAAAAAAAAAAAAGAAAGAAAGAAACGTGGGCTAGTGGAATTAACATTTAATTAATACTATTATGGGCCAAACACATGGCTATCTCATCTAACCCTTATATCGAAGAATTTTATTCCCATTTTCAGTTAAAGAAACCAAAGATTAAGTAAATTGCCCAGCGGAAGGACTGGGATCAGAACTCAAAGCCCAGTCTAAAGGTGTCACTGTAGGATGTCATGCTACAAATAAAATTTCACCAAAAACTCGTCTTTTTTTTTTTTTTTTTGAGACGGAGTTTCGCTCTTGTTGCCCAGGCTGGAGTGCAATGGTGCAATCTCGGCTCACTGCAACCTCCGCCTCCCAGGTCCAAGCGATTCTCCTGCCCCTGCCTCAGCCTCCCGCGTAGCTGGGGTTACAGGCATACGCCACCACACCCAGCTAATTTTAATTTTGTATTTTTGGTAAAGACGGGGTTTCTCCATGTTGGTCAGGCTGGTCTCGAACTCCCGACCGCCTCAGCCTCCCAAAGTGCTGGGATTACAGGCGTGAGCCATAAAGTGCTGGGATTACAAGCGTGAGCCATCGCGCCCAGCCTAAAAACTCATCTTAAATCACATTCTGTGAAAGGATGAGAACCAAGTAGTCTGTCACCTTACGTGCAAGGAGGGAACAGAGTGAGGCTTAAGGTTTTAAATTGAGTATTTCCTCAGTATCTCAAACTAGCCAGGAGCATTGTCAAAAATCAGCCTTTACAGTCAGGACCTCTGGGACAAACTCTTGCTTGAAGGAGTGAGGAGACTCTGCTGCTGTTTGTTTTGCCTAGCACAGAGCTGCATGTATAAGTTAAACTGACTTAGCATTGGGGACAATTTGCTGTCTCCAACCCAGTCTCACCTATTCAACCATTGTTTTACCAGTTACCGGGTGTGGGGGAGGGGGGAAGAGAATTGTCTGAGAATATCGTTCTAACTGTAATCAAATATAAATGACTTTTCATTAGCCATAACCACCGTACCAAACCTGGAGAGTGAGAGCTGCTAATCCTCAAAGAACATCTCAGATATGAACAAACAGTTTAGCATTTTTTTGAAATGTCAATTTTGGGTGCTCTCAGAAATGTTTAATTCCTTCTAAACTAAAATTTTTTATTTCTCTAAAAACAGTAGCAACATGATTTGCTGAGAAAACGTCGGAATGGGGTATACAAATTTTCTCCTAAAAATCTTCCAGAGGAAAGAAAACTTGATTGTTTCAGACTTGTAATTATACTAACCATTTACTTTTTAAACTAACATTTAATAGTAAACAAGCATATTCCCTTAGTAATTTAAAGTTAATTCAGTATTTGACCTGAAAATCTTTTATTAATTTCAAATGGAATGTAACTTTTAAAAGTATCAAACCTGTCATTCCTTCAGGAAATAAAGTAGCCCATTAGGAGATCAGGTTAGGAAATTAATACATGTTTGAGATAGGGTGGGAAAAAGCACAAAACTTTTTTGGTATTTGTACATATATAGTTTTGGAAAGCTTAGGAATGTGAAATCAACAATACACCTTTGAAATACCAAATAATGAGGCAATAATTTTTTTCAAACCTTAAAATGTCCCAAGAAAAACGACTAAGAATGATTTTTTTCCATTCAGTATATGCTCTAAAAATAAGGACAAACTATAATAGAAGTAACGATTTTTGGCACACATGTTTATGAAAATGTCCAAGTCAAGAAGCAATTTCAATTAATCAACAAACTTAAAACAACCATTAAATATAATTTGCATTTTTGTATCAGATCCATACAATCTCAAATATCAAGATTTTCTTAAGCTCAATGCTAAATGACCGGATATCTATCATTGTGGAGAAAAAGAATTTGATCTCAGGCAGACCAAAGGAAACGAAAGGCACACACCTAGAAGAATCACATGAGTCTCACTTCGAAGCCTCACAGAAGTCAGCACTGAAAGTCGTGGGTTACCCATTGCCCTGCAAGTGGCAGCTTTTCACTAACAGTGCTGGGGGTACTGAGCGGGCAGAATGTGGGACATCTCCTGCCAGCAAACTCCAGCCTGCTACCAAGCAGGACACCGCACACAAACACAACACTCTGCCCTAAGCTCACCAAAAAAAAAAAAAAAAAAAGGAAAAAGCCAACAATTAAACGATGCAAAATAACCTCTCCAAACACGCCCACAATGGGGGCTGGCAGTGGGGGGTGGAAGGGTTCATTAACATTTCAATTTCAACACTCAACAACAACAAGGAGGTAAGCATAGCCACGGGAAACATCCTGTCCCTGAAAAGCGGAAAATTGACATTTGAAAATTTATGTTTATTACTTTTAACGTTCAGAGCTCAGGGCACCAAAATAGAGCTAAAATTGAATCAATTTAAACAGAAAACATACGTGTGTGTGTGTGAAAATATGTATGTGTATATATATGCATATAAAATATATACATACACATATATATTTTATATTTTTTTCCGTTTAAATGTTATACATACACACAACCCCCCCCCAAAACCAAAGTAGTTTTCCGAGGTTCCGAGGGCTCTTCCACAGACCCTTCGGAGTTATGGCAATAACAAGTTTAGGTTTCCTTAAAATCTCCATTATTCTATTTCTAGGTCGAATATAAGAATGTCACATAAATCTAAATAGTGATTATCAGAATAAATGAACTACTGATCCTTAAACTGTAGACCTTGTTTCGGGAGCTGCCCTGCCCACTTCCTCTCCCTCCTCCCAATCCCGGAGGCTTCCAAGCCATCTGACAACCACGTCTCCCCCTTGGGATCTGTTCCGGTGTTGGTTTTACCGGACAGTGACCAAAAAGGAGGGGAAACTCCTACATCTGGGGACTGCTCCAGAAACCCTGCCTGATCCTGCCCCTCTCACTGACAGTCTCCTCGCTGCTCCCTACATCTTCCTCTCCGCCGGAGCTGTCCAGAAGGGGGATTTTGGACCCAAAGGAATCGGGATGAAAGGGGGTGGGTACTCAAGCTGAAAATAACACCCCCAGTTGGTGGGGTAAGGGCTAAAAAAGGCAATAGGGAAAGACTGGCCGGCAGAAACACCACCTGAGTTTACCTCCTCCTTCCCACCCCAAAAACCCCAGTCACTAATAAAGCTAAGAAACCCCTTGCAAACTTTTCCAAACCGGAAGAGAAGGCCCTCTCCCCAACCTGGGGGGCTCTAGGGGGAACAGGCTGGAGTTAGCAGCCCCGAACGGGCTCGCGGGGAGTTGGGTGGGGCGCGGGCGAGGGGTGCAGGGGCGGAGTACCTTCTTCAATGGACAGGAACTGGCAAAGAGTTTCAAAATAGCCGAGTGCGCTCCCCCACGCCCTGGGGGGGTCCCGGGCGCTAGGACCAGGGCTCCCCGGAGAGACAGCGGCCCCCAATTCCGACCTAAAAGGAAACTTTCTGGGCCGCGGCTGCACCTGACTCCTCACCGCCCCTCCACCCGACC